ACAATGAAGAAGGCAGGAGGAAATACAGGAGACTGAGGAATGAATTGAAAAGAGCCACGGACAGGGCCAAAAAGGAATATCTTGAGAAGATATGTAATGAGATTATAGAATTTCAAAGGACAGGACGTTATGATTTGACGCACATGAAGACAAAAGAACTAGGATGGAAAGTGAACCATGGGATTCAAAATATTGGCATCGAAGACTCCCAGGGGAATAAAATAGTAGATCAGAGGCGAGTGCTGAACATTTGGGAAAATTATATTACAGAACTATATGACTGACCTAATCGGCCAGAAACCTTGGAAGTGGAACCGGAAGAAGTAGATACAGACGAGAAAGGACCATATATTTTACAAAGTGAGGAATGGAAAGGCTACAGGAGATGATGATGTACCTGGAGATGTGCTTAAGTTACTGGGAGAAGGTGGTTTGAAAAAACTGACAAAACTAATAAACACCATATATGAAACTGGGGAGTGGCCCAAGGACTTTACAGAAGTGACAATGATTGCCTTAAAGAAAAAGACATAAGCTACAAAATGCAGCGACCATCGCACATTAAGCCTTATTGCACATACAGCAAAGATACTTAAAAGAAGAACTGAAAGGAAAATAGAGGATATACTTGGAGAGGATCAGTTTGGATTTAGAAGAGGAAAAGGAACCAGGGATGCAATTGGGATGATGAGAATTATAGCAGAACGAACTTTGGAGATGGATGAAGAACTGTGTGCTTGCTTTATAGACTGGCAGAAGGCATTTGACCATGTAAATTGGACCAAATTAATGCAGATCCCAAAGGAAACAGGCATCGATTGGCACGAAAGAAGATTGATTAGTAAATTCTACATGGATCAGAAAGTCAGAGTGTGACTAGACAGAGGAGAGACAAGAAGTGTGAAGATTGGAAGAGGAATTTGATTTGTTTCATTTTTGGTCTGTCACACTCACAGTTACAATTATAAAAGACAAGTCCGTCCAGTGTGACTATTTCAGTTTTCTCACTTTATGATTCACTCACTACCCTTACATGTTTCGATCCATTTGGATCATCTTCAGAGGCACCAAATACTTTTTAGAAACCACTATCACAACAGTTCTCATATCAAATACACATGTCATGTCCAAGTACACAATGTTCCATCTATCAGTCACAGCAGCCTTTCTGGTTATAGAAATATTTAAAGTTGTTTTAAAGTTTTAAAACTTTAAAACAACAGATGGAACATTGTGNTGTCTCAATAACCCCTGTTGTCTCTCTTCTAGGCCACCTATGTTCCATCTATCAGTCACAGCAGCCTTTCTGGTTATAGAAACATTTAAATTTGTTTTAAAGTTTTAAAACTTTAAAACAACAGATGGAACATTGTGTACTTGGCAATACATGTGTAACTGATATGACAACTGTTGTGATAGTGGTTTCTAAAAAGTGTTTGGTGCCTCTGAAGATGATCCAAATGGATCGAAACATGTCAGGCTAGTGAATCATAAAGTGAGAAAACTGAAATAGTCACACTACATGGACTTGTCTTTTATAATTGGAAGAGGAGTTCGACAAGGATGCTGTTTATCACCAATTTTGTTCAACTTGTACAGCGAATGCCTTACCAAAGAAGCTCTGGACGGGCTTGGAGACTTCAAATTAGGAGGGCAAATTATTCAAACTGTGAAATATGCAGACGACCTTGTGTTAATGGCTAAGGAAGAAACTGTGCTACAGGGTATGATTGATAGACTAATCAAAATTGGAAGGTGCTATGGCGTGGAAATGAATGTGGAAAANGTATGGGGCTGAAACTTCGACACTTAGGGCAGTAGATCAGAAACACCTGGAAAGCTTCGAAATGAAGAAGTGTTATTTAGAGTCAGTGAGCAGAGGAATATCCTACACGAAATAAGAAAACAGAAGGCTAATTGGATTGGTCATATCTTACGCGGTAACTGCCTTCTAAAAGAAGTTATTGAAGGAAAGATAGAGGGGCGGATAGAAGTGACTAGAAGACGAGGAAGAAGATGTAAGAAGATGCTGGATGACCTTGGGGATAGAAGAGGATATTCTCATTTGAAGGAGAAAGCTCTAGATAGCATCAAGTGGAGGAACGGTTTTGGTAGAGACTGTGGACCTGTTGTCCTGACAGATTACTGATGGACGAATGAAGGCTGAAACTGAAATGGGATGACTACTGGACAAAGGTCATGAGTATCTTAGGATTACAAGCATATGTGGTTGGGTGGACAAACATGACAGAATAACAGTTATTTCACTGACAGGTGAACTTAGAAATGGACTAAAGACCTGCTTTTTCACTTGCTTGATCTCTCATTCTTGAATTAATGAGCATGATAAACTCATATGATTTAAGATTTCAGATCTAAGTTATCTAGTATGTAATAGGGTGCCTCATCCTTGGATCACAATCCCTTCAACCTGCCAACCATCAGCCTTGAAGGGTGGCAGAGTGAACACTGGCTCAAACAACAAAGAGAACTCTTATGTCAAGTGAGTTATGTACAGAACTATGGATGTAGACCAAAATTTCAGTGTCTGAAATGCAATGTGGAGGCTGTGTATACAGCTCTGTTTCATTTCTCACAACTCAGCACAACCTACTGCAGAAAATGGGTCATATTACTGTTAAGTAAGTCTTCTGTTTATCAGTTTACTGCTTTCTTAATTACAAATCTTCATAAACAATTTGATTAGGGGTTTTGTAGTACATGAAGGAAATCATAAGAATCGTAGAGAGAACAGACATATTGTGCTTTATTGTATGAAAACAAACAAAGGACACATACCTGATGACAACAATAAACTTACAAGGTGGCTCAAATATGACTGGGACTGATCTGTGTGTAAAGAAGCCGCACTGCGCAGCAGCTGTGCGACCTTGAGAGAGTGAAGCCACAACCTCCACCCTTCCTCCTGTTTGGGTTAGAACCTGTTCAGTCCTGTCTGGGAGTTGCTAGAATGATGAGCGAACAGAAGGTACCACGGAGCGTGGAACAACGCACTGTGATAAAATTCCTCGTTGGAGAAAATGTCCTGTCCGCTGAAATTCACCACAGACTCCAACAACAGTATGGAGAAGAGTGTCTCTCACAGACCCATGTGTTTGAGTGGTGTAAGTGCTTCAGAGAGGGCAGAGAGTGCATGGAGAATGAACTGCATGATTGTCGGCTACGAACATCCATCACCGAGCCAAACACTGATCATGCAGACACGCTTATTCGTGAGAATTGGCACATCACTATCAAGGAACTTGGAGCAATGCTGCCCATCAGTGTTGGTAGTGTAGAAGACATCGTGAAATGCCACCTGCACTATTGCAAGGTGAATGCATGGTGGGTACCACGAACTTTAACGGACGTGAACAAAATGGTGTGCATGCAAGCTGCCAGTCGTCTCCCATAGCAGTTTGAAGATGAAGGTGATGCATTTTTGAAGTCTATAGTGACCACCGATGAAACGTGGGTGCACTACTTCATTCCAAAGTCCCAGCAATCATCACGCGAGTGGCGGCATACCAGTTCTTCCAAACCCAAGAGAGTGCGGAGGAGCCATTCAGCAGGAAAAGTGATGGCAACGTTCTTCTGGGACTGGCAGGGGGTTATCCATGTAGACTTTCTGACAGATGCCAGAACAGTCAATGCAGCTTATTACTCAGACCTCCTGGCAACAGACGTGAAGAAAAAGATCCGATCCAAGTGGAAGACAGGTGGAAAGTGGGTACCCTTCCTTCAAGACAATGCACACCCCCATACGGCCAAAACAACAATGGAAACCCTCCGGAAATTGAAACGGAACCTTCTGATACATTCATCGTACAGTCTTGATTTGGCCCCAAGTTATTTCTACCTGTCTGGAAGGCTCAAATCAGACTTGCAAGGCATGCGGTTTGTGGACGACACCATCATCCAGACTGTTCGGGAGTGGATACACCGCCAACCACAAGCCTTTTTTGAAAAGGGCATCAGGATGCTTCCAGAACATTGGAAAAAATGTGCTGACTCCAGAGGGGAGTACGTTGAAGAGTGACATGTGCAAGTAAGTGTTTGGCAACTATGGTTTTTAAAAAAAAATCAGTCCCTATCATATTTGAACCACCTTGTATTACATATTCTATAGTTACACACGGCATTACAGCTTTTTATAACCTATGTAAATCTGTCAAATTGGGCCGAATTGTTGCTTCCTTTGATATGACATGGACCACACATGAAGAGGCAGATGTTGAAGACCTTGTTTTGTGTCTTATAGTCAAAGTAATCAGAGGGTATTATAATTATCTGTAGTTCCACCTGGTGAGATTATTCAATATATCAATTCATCTAATCTGAATGTCATTAGTTACTTGTTGTGTTATCAGGACACGCAACAATATATACCAGTAGCAGGACTGATGTATCTTCCCTTTCATTTGATAAAGGTGAAGATATCATTATGAGAATAATTTAGGCAGAACAAATTATATTTTATATACCGTATTTACGCATGTATAGGCCGCACATTTTTTGCCAAAAATTCAAGAGGAAAACTGGGGTGCGGCTTATATTCGAAATATTCGAAATCACACTTCATTTAAAAAAATTATATTCATAATTAGTAATACAGGGTGTAATACTCCTGAAATAATATTCCAAGAAAATTATTTTTTCTATAATTTGTCTGAAAATTGTGCTGCGGCCTATACATGCGTAAATACGGTATATGAATGACAAATTAACTCTATGTACCCATGGTTTAGTCATCAGATTAAAATAACTAGTTTTACTCAGCAGGTTTATAGTAACAAAGTTTAACAGCAAAAATTCAGTCTTTCCACTCTGGAACCAACTTACTTTTTACACAAAAAACATGGGATAGCCTGAAATAATATCAGCCACAACAGCACATCTCTGTTGCTCCATTGCTAGATTAGACAGCTTCACTTTTGCTCTGAAAAACCAAAATGAAGAGAATTAGTTTTAAGACTGCAGTCTGCTGGGACGTGATGTCACACAGTATGGTAGTGGGATAGCCTGAAATAATATCAGCCACAACAGCACATCTCTGTTGCTCCATTGCTAGATTAGACAGCTTCACTTTTGCTCTGAAAGACCAAAATGAAGAGAATTAGTTTTAGGACTGCAGTCTGCTGGGACAAGTGTCACATAATGTGGTAGAGAAAACTCAATCCCAATAAACTGAATATGGAGACTGGTCTCTCCCAAAGCAAGTCATGGAAGTCTCTCTTTCTCTCTCTCTCTCTCACATGCACGCACAGATGTGTGGTCTGACAATAAAGGTCTTGAACTCACCACAGTGTACTTGCCATGGCAGCAGAGCACAGAAACCTCAGTATGGTTTGATGGCACTGGCATATCAGTGTTTCACACGTGTGTTGTTGTTGATCTATGGCAGTCTCTTTCTGTGTGTGTTTTGGTGTGCCATTGCGAGAATGTTGGAACAAACATTAAAAACTTGGCAAGAGTGGAAAAAAAAAATCAGAGAGATGTTAGTGCAAGTTTAAGGGGTTAACGCTATGAAGAAAACAACAGTTTACAAGTGGGTGACATGATGGGGTACCCAAAAGAAACCGAACAAATTTTTTTGTGGGCAGAGCTTTTGTAGTACCGTGTTTTGCCACTATGAGCGCATAGAGCTAACATTCCTGAGTCGATAAGCCGACTACCGTTGCTTTAGAAGGTAAGGACTAGTTTTGGCAGAGTTTATAGTGACAACTGTTTTGTGTGATCATCGTTTTTGCAATGGCTGATTTTCGTGAACAGCGTGTGGCGGTGAAATTCTGCTTTTTGCTCGGGAAAAGTGGAACAGAAACTTTTGAAATGTTAAAAACGGTGTACAAGGACGATGCTATGGGGAAAACTCAAGTGTTTGAGTGGTTTTCCCGTTTCAAAAATGGTGAAATGTCAATTGATGACAAACCTCGTTCTGGTCGTCCTTCCATGGCCCGAACACATGNACTCACCCGATCTTGCCCCGTGCGACTTTTTTTTTTGTTTCCTCGAATGAAAAGAGACATGAAAGGAAAGCGTTTTGCTGATGTTGCTGAGGTGAAGGAAAAAACGATGGAGGCGCTGTCAAGCATCTCAAAAGATGGGTTTAGGCAATGTTTTGAAAAATGGAATAAAAGACTAGACAAGTGTATTAGTGTAAGTGGAGAGTACTTTGAAGGGGATTGAAGGTTTGTGCTTAAAATTTGAATAAATAAGTTTGGTTTCTTTTGGATACCCCCTCGTATGTTTCTGAGGGAAGAGAAAATGTCACTGATGAAGAGAGACATCAGGACAGCCAGCCAATGAGCAGAACTGAAGAAAACTGCAAAAATTCGTCAACATGTGCACGAAAATTGTCAGCTGTCAGGAGCATAGCAGAGCAAGCGAACACTGACAGAGAAACAGTTAAGAATATCGTAACACTTTGCGGACCGTGCACCCTTTAAAAGGTTTTTCGCTTTTAAACATGGCGGACCGTTCGCGTGTTAACAGGTTTTTAGAACATGATAAGTTGCAACACACTATACATCGCTCTGGCGCCACCTACATTGCACGCAACCGCCTGCAGATGCGCGATAAGACTCTGGAATGTTTAGTTAGCAGTCAGTAACTTGACCTCGCTGTTTACTTAACCGACTATAAAGGAAAATGCTTTGCCTTCTTCAAGCTGTATGTATCAGCCAGTAGCTAGTGGGGAGAATGGATCAAGGACAAATTCTCCTCTGATGACCTAGCTGACCTGCCTTGTGAGACAAGTAGTAATGGATTGCCATTCAGACAGTGACAGTGACGGGGGACAACAAAGAATTGTGGCCACAGACAGTAAAAGTGACAGTAGCTCCGACAATAATGCGGTTAATAACATTGCGCGTAGTAACATTGCAGGGACAGCAAAAAATCTAAACCCTGATTCAAAATTGAAATACAAAGCATTTCTGATGAATGTGGCAAAGGCCTGGGCTACAGTCCAGATGGTGGCAGCAGAACCAGGGTCACACAAAGACTTAGTACGACCGGGCACATCAACTCGCACCCCATGAAGACCTCATGTGGACCCCCCAGGGCGACTCTTGACTGACATGCGGAAAAATACCCTCATGAAAATTGTGAAGAGTGAACATTCCAAGGGGAAGAATACTTCTAGGCAATGCCATGTTTGCAGAGTTCACAAAAAAGGAGTATGTCTACATTTGCAAGTTCTGTGTAATGCCACTTCACAAAGGGGAAAGTTTTCAGAAATATCACATCCTCAAGCACTTCTAGGAGCATTGGTAAGTGTTCTCCAAAAATTTTAGTTCAACAAATTAATTACGAGATTTTGTATTAATTTTTAAAGCGAACAGTGCACAAGTTAGCAACATTAAGTCCACGTTAATCTGTTTTCTTGATATTGATGGGATTGTTCATAAGGAGTTCGTCCCTCCTGGTCCGACAGTCAATAAAGAGTTCTGTCGCGATGTTCTAAGGCGTTTGAGGGAGGACATGAGGAGAAAATGTCCAGAGAAGTGGCGCACGAATGACTGGGTACTCCTCTATGACAACACAACCGCATACGGCTTACACTGTGCAGGAATTTTCGGCTAAAAACAAGATGGCAGTTGTTCCCCACCCACCATACTCACCAGACTTAGCTCCATGAGACTTCTTTCTCTTCCCTAAGATGAAAATCAAGTTGAAGGGGCAAAGATTTGATACAGCTGGTGAAATTCAGGCGGAAACGCAGACAGTACTGAACACCCTAACAAAGAAAGACTTCCAGGGTGCATTTCAAAAGTGGCAGAAATGCTGGGATCAGTGTATGCGCTCCCAAGGGGACTAGTTTGAAGGTGATGGTGCACAATGAGATCCAGGTAAGACGTAATAGTTTTTATTAATATTGTGACATGTTGCGCAAAGGAGAACCCCCCCCCCACCGGCAGTGACGCGGCGGGGGAGT